TGTCCTGTAGCATTTATCATTCTGAAATGTCACGTACAGATTGCTCATATCCTCATGACCAAATCCCCCATTCTCCAACATTCTTAGGGATTTTAAACTCTCTAAATAAAGAGGATTGTTTAATTGAGCGTCATCAATAAATTTAATTATTTCCTCTTTTTCAAGTAAGATTTTATTGTTGAAATAAGAATTATTTATAGATATGCCTTCGGAAAAATTATTAAGAGGTTGGTTTTCTCGCGAAGCCATTACAGTAGCTTCTCAGTTTCTTAAAATAAAAGGTAATATTTCAATTATGCGTGAACACATTGGGATTAAATATATTCATGAAAGTTTTGTAATTTGTAATTGATAACCGTGTTACACAAAATCAAAGTATTTATTGGGAAGTATCATAAGTAAAAAGGCTGAATTTCATTATCATTTTCTCAAAATAGAAAATCAAAATAAAATTCTCTAATATTTTTAACAAAAGAAAGAAGGAAAATAACGAGAGGCGTTTATTTATCTAAAGCCCATGATAAGACAATTGATAATGATAGCAATGATAAAAAAATTGATAACGATAGCGATAATAAAAAAATTAATGATAGAAAAAACAATTTGTATTTCACCCTAATTTGTTTAAATAAAGATAAAAAATTCTCTAAAATAACGTTTATAAAGGTGCCTCTGCTGCATTTACTTTGGTTTTTCATCATTAGCTTTTGCTTCCATTTTTAAAATAACGGTGCGAACAATATTCACAACAATAGCGTTGTATAAAAAAACTTTTTTTTAGAACGTGAGATGAAGAATCTAAAATAAGGAAGAAAAGCCAGATGTGGAATTTGTTAATAAACATATTTAGGAATATCGTTTAGTATGATTCTGAAGAATATGGGTTTATTAATGGCCAGAGAGTTTCTTTTTGTATTGATACTATTTTTTTTTATAAAATAACCTAAACATCTAACGTAACGTTGTTATATCTTTTACATTATATAATGATGGGTAATTATAAGATTCCTCAGTGATAACAAACAAATTTGCTTTTGTGAACATTATTCCTTAAGCGGTTTTTCGGCTATTGATAGCCGAAATTTTTTTCTGTTATAAACAACTTTTTTTGAGGGTATCACTTACTAAAACAAAAATGATTTTTGAGATCCAGATGATTGATCTGTAAATAAGATTCGGTTGATGTCCTTGTGCTTTTCGTAACATCTTCTTTAAACGTTGGTCGTTTGAC